GCAGGCACACGAGGGTGGAGAGCGAGCAAGTCGACTCAAAAGGAGTGCAGGCACACGAGGGTGGAGAGCGAGCAAGTCGACTCAAAAGGAGTGCAGGCACACGAGGGTGGAGAGCGAGCAAGTCGACTCAAAAGGAGTGCAGGCACACGAGGGTGGAGAGCGAGCAAGTCGACTCAAAAGGAGTGCAGGCACACGAGGGTGGAGAGCGAGCAAGTCGACTCAAAAGGAGTGCAGGCACACGAGGGTGGAGAGCGAGCAAGTCGACTCAAAAGGAGTGCAGGCACACGAGGGTGGAGAGCGAGCAAGTCGACTCAAAAGGAGTGCAGGCACACGAGGGTGGAGAGCGAGCAAGTCGACTCAAAAGGAGTGCAGGCACACGAGGGTGGAGAGCGAGCAAGTCGACTCAAAAGGAGTGCAGGCACACGAGGGTGGAGAGCGAGCAAGTCGACTCAAAAGGAGTGCAGGCACACGAGGGTGGAGAGCGAGCAAGTCGACTCAAAAGGAGTGCAGGCACACGAGGGTGGAGAGCGAGCAAGTCGACTCAAAAGGAGTGCAGGCACACGAGGGTGGAGAGCGAGCAAGTCGACTCAAAAGGAGTGCAGGCACACGAGGGTGGAGAGCGAGCAAGTCGACTCAAAAGGAGTGCAGGCACACGAGGGTGGAGAGCGAGCAAGTCGACTCAAAAGGAGTGCAGGCACACGAGGGTGGAGAGCGAGCAAGTCGACTCAAAAGGAGTGCAGGCACACGAGGGTGGAGAGCGAGCAAGTCGACTCAAAAGGAGTGCAGGCACACGAGGGTGGAGAGCGAGCAAGTCGACTCAAAAGGAGTGCAGGCACACGAGGGTGGAGAGCGAGCAAGTCGACTCAAAAGGAGTGCAGGCACACGAGGGTGGAGAGCGAGCAAGTCGACTCAAAAGGAGTGCAGGCACACGAGGGTGGAGAGCGAGCAAGTCGACTCAAAAGGAGTGCAGGCACACGAGGGTGGAGAGCGAGCAAGTCGACTCAAAAGGAGTGCAGGCACACGAGGGTGGAGAGCGAGCAAGTCGACTCAAAAGGAGTGCAGGCACACGAGGGTGGAGAGCGAGCAAGTCGACTCAAAAGGAGTGCAGGCACACGAGGGTGGAGAGCGAGCAAGTCGACTCAAAAGGAGTGCAGGCACACGAGGGTGGAGAGCGAGCAAGTCGACTCAAAAGGAGTGCAGGCACACGAGGGTGGAGAGCGAGCAAGTCGACTCAAAAGGAGTGCAGGCACACGAGGGTGGAGAGCGAGCAAGTCGACTCAAAAGGAGTGCAGGCACACGAGGGTGGAGAGCGAGCAAGTCGACTCAAAAGGAGTGCAGGCACACGAGGGTGGAGAGCGAGCAAGTCGACTCAAAAGGAGTGCAGGCACACGAGGGTGGAGAGCGAGCAAGTCGACTCAAAAGGAGTGCAGGCACACGAGGGTGGAGAGCGAGCAAGTCGACTCAAAAGGAGTGCAGGCACACGAGGGTGGAGAGCGAGCAAGTCGACTCAAAAGGAGTGCAGGCACACGAGGGTGGAGAGCGAGCAAGTCGACTCAAAAGGAGTGCAGGCACACGAGGGTGGAGAGCGAGCAAGTCGACTCAAAAGGAGTGCAGGCACACGAGGGTGGAGAGCGAGCAAGTCGACTCAAAAGGAGTGCAGGCACACGAGGGTGGAGAGCGAGCAAGTCGACTCAAAAGGAGTGCAGGCACACGAGGGTGGAGAGCGAGCAAGTCGACTCAAAAGGAGTGCAGGCACACGAGGGTGGAGAGCGAGCAAGTCGACTCAAAAGGAGTGCAGGCACACGAGGGTGGAGAGCGAGCAAGTCGACTCAAAAGGAGTGCAGGCACACGAGGGTGGAGAGCGAGCAAGTCGACTCAAAAGGAGTGCAGGCACACGAGGGTGGAGAGCGAGCAAGTCGACTCAAAAGGAGTGCAGGCACACGAGGGTGGAGAGCGAGCAAGTCGACTCAAAAGGAGTGCAGGCACACGAGGGTGGAGAGCGAGCAAGTCGACTCAAAAGGAGTGCAGGCACACGAGGGTGGAGAGCGAGCAAGTCGACTCAAAAGGAGTGCAGGCACACGAGGGTGGAGAGCGAGCAAGTCGACTCAAAAGGAGTGCAGGCACACGAGGGTGGAGAGCGAGCAAGTCGACTCAAAAGGAGTGCAGGCACACGAGGGTGGAGAGCGAGCAAGTCGACTCAAAAGGAGTGCAGGCACACGAGGGTGGAGAGCGAGCAAGTCGACTCAAAAGGAGTGCAGGCACACGAGGGTGGAGAGCGAGCAAGTCGACTCAAAAGGAGTGCAGGCACACGAGGGTGGAGAGCGAGCAAGTCGACTCAAAAGGAGTGCAGGCACACGAGGGTGGAGAGCGAGCAAGTCGACTCAAAAGGAGTGCAGGCACACGAGGGTGGAGAGCGAGCAAGTCGACTCAAAAGGAGTGCAGGCACACGAGGGTGGAGAGCGAGCAAGTCGACTCAAAAGGAGTGCAGGCACACGAGGGTGGAGAGCGAGCAAGTCGACTCAAAAGGAGTGCAGGCACACGAGGGTGGAGAGCGAGCAAGTCGACTCAAAAGGAGTGCAGGCACACGAGGGTGGAGAGCGAGCAAGTCGACTCAAAAGGAGTGCAGGCACACGAGGGTGGAGAGCGAGCAAGTCGACTCAAAAGGAGTGCAGGCACACGAGGGTGGAGAGCGAGCAAGTCGACTCAAAAGGAGTGCAGGCACACGAGGGTGGAGAGCGAGCAAGTCGACTCAAAAGGAGTGCAGGCACACGAGGGTGGAGAGCGAGCAAGTCGACTCAAAAGGAGTGCAGGCACACGAGGGTGGAGAGCGAGCAAGTCGACTCAAAAGGAGTGCAGGCACACGAGGGTGGAGAGCGAGCAAGTCGACTCAAAAGGAGTGCAGGCACACGAGGGTGGAGAGCGAGCAAGTCGACTCAAAAGGAGTGCAGGCACACGAGGGTGGAGAGCGAGCAAGTCGACTCAAAAGGAGTGCAGGCACACGAGGGTGGAGAGCGAGCAAGTCGACTCAAAAGGAGTGCAGGCACACGAGGGTGGAGAGCGAGCAAGTCGACTCAAAAGGAGTGCAGGCACACGAGGGTGGAGAGCGAGCAAGTCGACTCAAAAGGAGTGCAGGCACACGAGGGTGGAGAGCGAGCAAGTCGACTCAAAAGGAGTGCAGGCACACGAGGGTGGAGAGCGAGCAAGTCGACTCAAAAGGAGTGCAGGCACACGAGGGTGGAGAGCGAGCAAGTCGACTCAAAAGGAGTGCAGGCACACGAGGGTGGAGAGCGAGCAAGTCGACTCAAAAGGAGTGCAGGCACACGAGGGTGGAGAGCGAGCAAGTCGACTCAAAAGGAGTGCAGGCACACGAGGGTGGAGAGCGAGCAAGTCGACTCAAAAGGAGTGCAGGCACACGAGGGTGGAGAGCGAGCAAGTCGACTCAAAAGGAGTGCAGGCACACGAGGGTGGAGAGCGAGCAAGTCGACTCAAAAGGAGTGCAGGCACACGAGGGTGGAGAGCGAGCAAGTCGACTCAAAAGGAGTGCAGGCACACGAGGGTGGAGAGCGAGCAAGTCGACTCAAAAGGAGTGCAGGCACACGAGGGTGGAGAGCGAGCAAGTCGACTCAAAAGGAGTGCAGGCACACGAGGGTGGAGAGCGAGCAAGTCGACTCAAAAGGAGTGCAGGCACACGAGGGTGGAGAGCGAGCAAGTCGACTCAAAAGGAGTGCAGGCACACGAGGGTGGAGAGCGAGCAAGTCGACTCAAAAGGAGTGCAGGCACACGAGGGTGGAGAGCGAGCAAGTCGACTCAAAAGGAGTGCAGGCACACGAGGGTGGAGAGCGAGCAAGTCGACTCAAAAGGAGTGCAGGCACACGAGGGTGGAGAGCGAGCAAGTCGACTCAAAAGGAGTGCAGGCACACGAGGGTGGAGAGCGAGCAAGTCGACTCAAAAGGAGTGCAGGCACACGAGGGTGGAGAGCGAGCAAGTCGACTCAAAAGGAGTGCAGGCACACGAGGGTGGAGAGCGAGCAAGTCGACTCAAAAGGAGTGCAGGCACACGAGGGTGGAGAGCGAGCAAGTCGACTCAAAAGGAGTGCAGGCACACGAGGGTGGAGAGCGAGCAAGTCGACTCAAAAGGAGTGCAGGCACACGAGGGTGGAGAGCGAGCAAGTCGACTCAAAAGGAGTGCAGGCACACGAGGGTGGAGAGCGAGCAAGTCGACTCAAAAGGAGTGCAGGCACACGAGGGTGGAGAGCGAGCAAGTCGACTCAAAAGGAGTGCAGGCACACGAGGGTGGAGAGCGAGCAAGTCGACTCAAAAGGAGTGCAGGCACACGAGGGTGGAGAGCGAGCAAGTCGACTCAAAAGGAGTGCAGGCACACGAGGGTGGAGAGCGAGCAAGTCGACTCAAAAGGAGTGCAGGCACACGAGGGTGGAGAGCGAGCAAGTCGACTCAAAAGGAGTGCAGGCACACGAGGGTGGAGAGCGAGCAAGTCGACTCAAAAGGAGTGCAGGCACACGAGGGTGGAGAGCGAGCAAGTCGACTCAAAAGGAGTGCAGGCACACGAGGGTGGAGAGCGAGCAAGTCGACTCAAAAGGAGTGCAGGCACACGAGGGTGGAGAGCGAGCAAGTCGACTCAAAAGGAGTGCAGGCACACGAGGGTGGAGAGCGAGCAAGTCGACTCAAAAGGAGTGCAGGCACACGAGGGTGGAGAGCGAGCAAGTCGACTCAAAAGGAGTGCAGGCACACGAGGGTGGAGAGCGAGCAAGTCGACTCAAAAGGAGTGCAGGCACACGAGGGTGGAGAGCGAGCAAGTCGACTCAAAAGGAGTGCAGGCACACGAGGGTGGAGAGCGAGCAAGTCGACTCAAAAGGAGTGCAGGCACACGAGGGTGGAGAGCGAGCAAGTCGACTCAAAAGGAGTGCAGGCACACGAGGGTGGAGAGCGAGCAAGTCGACTCAAAAGGAGTGCAGGCACACGAGGGTGGAGAGCGAGCATGACCTGCAGGCGGCAGCTGAGAGTGGCGAAGGGTTCGAGGCGCAGCAGGTAGAAGAGCACGATGCCTGCTGTGGAGTAGTGTGAGCCGTACAGGAAACTGCAAACACACAATGGGGGAGGGGGAAGGGGGAAAGGGGAAGGGGGAGAGAGGGGAGAGGAGGAAGAGGTGTGGGGCTTATGTTGGCGGGCATGGCATGGATGGCAACACTGCGCTGGTGGGGTGGGAGTCATGGCATGGCATGGAATGGCATGATGATGGGGATGGGCTAGCATGGCACAGCATGGCAATAGATGACCGCAGGCGCTCACCTTGGAATGTCGGGGTCTCGAAAGCTCTCTGCTCTATCACGCAACATCTGCGTGGTAAGGGGTGGAGAGGGATTAAGAGGATGGCAAGGGATGGTTTAATAGGAACATGCAGGCAAGACGCTGGCACATGCGAGTACACCGCAGCCAAGCTGGGATATTATTATTTCAACCACAGCAATCAAGCAGCAGCACACATGCCACGCAAGCAAAGCAGCCGCACGCCACCGTGCCCACCGCACCACCACACCACGCACCTCGAGGCGCTTGGCATTGAGAGCGCCCACGGGCTTGCCAAGGTCACGGAACGTGCTCTCGCTCTGCAGGTCCAGGCGCTCGCTCTCATAGTCCGCGATCACCCACGGGAACACGGGGTACTGCGAGAGGTCGTTGTACGTGCGCCCCGCCAGCGTGTTGAGCGCCATGAGGTACTCAAAGTTGCTCAGCTCGCGCCGCCGCCACGCCGCTGCCGCCTTCTCCGCGCGGTCCAGGGCGCGGCGCCGGTCGACGACCATCACGTGCTCCTCGCGCGCGCGCGTGGACCGGGCCGTAGCGTTGGCCACGGCGGCTAGCTTTGCTGCGAAGTCGGCTGCGAGGCGTGGTGAGGCAAAGGTGAAGAGCGCTGGCGGGCGTGCGGCGGGGGAGGTGAAGGAGAGCTCGAGGGCCGTGTAGCGCAGGAGGAAGCGCGTTACTCGGATGAGGCGCAGCTGGGGTGGGGGAAGTGGGATCAATAGTGGGCAGTGGGGGTCCATTGAGAACAAAGAGGTTGGGAAGGAGAGAAGGGCATGCTCACACGCTGCACCGCACGCTCATACGCTGCACCGCACGCTCATACGCTGCACCGCTCGCTCATACGCTGCACCGCACGCTCATACGCTGCACCGCCAGCTCATACGCTGCACCGCCCGCTCACACGCTGCACCGCCCGCTCACACGCTGCACCGCACGCTCATACGCTGCACCGCACGCTCATACGCTGCACCGCCCGCTCATACGCTGCACCGCCCGCTCATACGCTGCACCGCCCGCTCATATGCTGCACCGCACGCTCATACGCTGCACCGCACGCTCACACGCTGCACCGCACGCTCATACGCTGCACCGCACGCTCATACGCTGCACCGCACGCTCATACGCTGCACCGCTCGCTCATACGCTGCACCGCTCGCTCATACGCTGCACCGCACGCTCATACGCTGCACCGCACGCTCATACGCTGCACCGCACGCTCATACGCTGCACCGCACGCTCATACGCTGCACCGCCCGCTCATACGCTGCACCGCCCGCTCATACGCTGCACCGCACGCTCATACGCTGCACCGCCCGCTCATACGCTGCACCGCCCGCTCATACGCTGCACCGCCCGCTCACACGCTGCACCGCCCGCTCATACGCTGAACCGCCCGCTCATACGCTGCACCGCACGCTCATACGCTGCACCGCACGCTCATACGCTGCACCGCCCGCTCATACGCTGCACCGCCCGCTCATACGCTGCACCGCCCGCTCATACGCTGCACCGTCCGCTCATACGCTGCACCGCCTGCTCATACGCTGCACCGCCCTCTCATGCGCTGCACCGCCCGCTCACACGCTGCACCGCCCGCTCACACGCTGCACCGCTCGCTCACACGCTGCACCGCACGCTCATACGCTGCACCGCACGCTCATACGCTGCACCGCACGCTCATACGCTGCACCGCACGCTCATACGCTGCACCGCACGCTCATACGCTGCACCGCCCGCTCATACGCTGCACCGCCCGCTCATACGCTGCACCGCCCGCTCATACGCTGCACCGTCCGCTCATACGCTGCACCGCCTGCTCATACGCTGCACCGCCCTCTCATGCGCTGCACCGCCCGCTCACACGCTGCACCGCCCGCTCACACGCTGCACCGCTCGCTCACACGGTGCACCGCACGCTCATACGCTGCACCGCACGCTCATACGCTGCACCGCACGCTCATACGCTGCACCGCACGCTCATACGCTGCACCGCACGCTCATACGCTGCACCGCCCGCTCATACGCTGCACCGCCCGCTCCTACGCTGCACCGCACGCTCATACGCTGCACCGCCCGCTCATACGCTGCACCGCCCGCTCATACGCTGCACCGCACGCTCATACGCTGCACCGCCCGCTCATACGCTGCACCGCACGCTCATACGCTGCACCGCACGCTCATACGCTGCACCGCACGCTCATACGCTGCACCGCCCGCTCATACGCTGCACCGCCCTCTCATACGCTGCACCGCCCTCTCATACGCTGCACCGCCCTCTCACACGCTGCACCGCCCACTCGCACGCTGCACCGCCCGCTCGCACGCTGCACCGCCCGCTCGCACGCTGCACCGCACGCTCGTACGCTGCACCGCACGCTCGTACGCTGCACCGCACGCTCGTACGCTGCACCGCACGCTCATACGCTGCACCGCACGCTCATACGCTGCACCGCTCGCTCATACGCTGCACCGCTCGCTCATACGCTGCACCGCCCGCTCATACGCTGCACCGCACGCTCACACGCTGCACCGCACGCTCACACGCTGCACCGCCCGCTCACACGCTGCACCGCCCGCTCACACGCTGCACCGCCCGCTCACACGCTGCACCGCCCGCTCACACGCTGCACCGCACGCTCACACGCTGCACCGCACGCTCATACGCTGCACCGCCCGCTCATACGCTGCACCGCCCGCTCATACCCTGCACCGCCCGCTCATACGCTGCACCGCACGCTCATACGCTGCACCGCACGCTCACACGCTGCACCGCACGCTCATACGCTGCACCGCACGCTCATACGCTGCACCGCACGCTCATACGCTGCACCGCTCGCTCATACGCTGCACCGCTCGCTCATACGCTGCACCGCACGCTCATACGCTGCACCGCACGCTCATACGCTGCACCGCACGCTCATACGCTGCACCGCACGCTCATACGCTGCACCGCACGCTCATACGCTGCACCGCCCGCTCATACGCTGCACCGCCCGCTCATACGCTGCACCGCCCGCTCACACGCTGCACCGCCCGCTCATACGCTGCACCGCCCGCTCATACGCTGCACCGCACGCTCAGACGCTGCACCGCACGCTCACACGCTGCACCGCCCGCTCATACGCTGCACCGCCCGCTCACACGCTGCACCGCCCGCTCATACGCTGCACCGCCCGCTCATACGCTGCACCGCACGCTCATACGCTGCACCGCTCGCTCATACGCTGCACCGCACGCTCATACGCTGCACCGCACGCTCATACGCTGCACCGCACGCTCACACGCTGCACCGCCCGCTCATACGCTGCACCGCCCGCTCACACGCTGCATCGCCCGCTCATACGCTGCACCGCCCGCTCATACGCTGCACCGCACGCTCATACGCTGCACCGCTCGCTCATACGCTGCACCGCACGCTCATACGCTGCACCGCACGCTCATACGCTGCCCGCTCATACGCTGCACTGCCCGCTCATACGCTGCACCGCACGCTCATACGCTGCACCGCACGCTCATACGCTGCACCGCACGCTCATACGCTGCCCGCTCATACGCTGCACTGCCCGCTTATACGCTGCACCGCCCGCTCATACGCTGCACCGCCCGCTCATACGCTGCACCGCCCGCTCATACGCTGCACCGCACGCTCACACGCTGCACCGCCCGCTCATACGCTGCACCGCCCGCTCACACGCTGCATCGCCCGCTCATACGCTGCACCGCCCGCTCATACGCTGCACCGCACGCTCATACGCTGCACCGCTCGCTCATACGCTGCACCGCACGCTCATACGCTGCACCGCACGCTCATACGCTGCCCGCTCATACGCTGCACTGCCCGCTCATACGCTGCACCGCACGCTCATACGCTGCACCGCACGCTCATACGCTGCACCGCACGCTCATACGCTGCCCGCTCATACGCTGCACTGCCCGCTTATACGCTGCACCGCCCGCTCATACGCTGCACCGCCCGCTCATACGCTGCACCGCCCGCTCATACGCTGCACCGCCCGCTCACACGCTGCACCGCCCGCTCACACGCTGCACCGCCCGCTCGCACGCTGCACCGCACGCTCGCACGCTGCACCGCACGCTCGTACGCTGCACCGCACGCTCGTACGCTGCACCGCACGCTCGTACGCTGCACCGCACGCTCGTACGCTGCACCGCACGCTCATACGCTGCACCGCTCGCTCATACGCTGCACCGCTCGCTCATACGCTGCACCGCACGCTCGTACGCTGCACCGCACGCTCGTACGCTGCACCGCACGCTCGTACGCTGCACCGCTCGCTCATACGCTGCACTGCTCGCTCATACGCTGCACCGCACGCTCATACGCTGCACCGCACGCTCATACGCTGCACCGCACGCTCATACGCTGCACCGCCCGCTCACACGCTGCACCGCCCGCTCATACGCTGCACCGCCCGCTCATACGCTGCACCGCCCGCTCATACGCTGCACCGCCCGCTCATACGCTGCACCGCCCGCTCATACGCTGCACCGCCCGCTCATACGCTGCACCGCCCGCTCATACGCTGCACCGCCCGCTCATACGCTGCACCGCCCGCTCATACGCTGCACCGCCCGCTCACACGCTGCACCGCACGCTCATACGCTGCACCGCACGCTCACAGTGAAGAGTGACAGCTGATTAGCCAAGAGGTGGCAAGTGATGGCAGGGGCTGCGGAAGCAAGCTCAGCGTCGCTCAATCTCCCAAGAGTGCTGGTGGGTCTTGCAGGCACCTATGAGACTATCACAATAGCACATTCATGCAGCATGGAGCAAAGCCACCTCACCTCGTGCAGGGGCCACTGGCCGGAGAAAAGCCACCTCACCTCATGCAGCGGCCACTGGCGGTGCATCTTGACCTCCTCCAGGACATCGGGGTCCTTGGCCATGCGCACACTCGCGCGCCCCAGTGTCTTCTCCGTGGGCTGTAGCTTCGCCACCAGCAGCAGCCGCTGCGTCACGCGCCGCCACCGCTCCCGCGGCCCCACCTTGGCCCCGCCGCGCTCCGCCTCCCCCCGCACGCTGTGCGGCGGGCGGAGGCGGCCGTCGGGGTCGAAGAGAGAGGAGCCGGCGGTGCCCTCGAAGACAAAGTCCGCCAGGAAGTGCAGCGAGCGCCGCCTCAGCTCCATGCGCCCTCCTAGCTTGCGCTTGGCCGTCACCATTATGCACGGCAGGCTCGTTATTACCTAAGGGGAGGGGATGCATGGTGGGGGAGGGGTTGGGGTGGACGAGGGAGTGAGTGAGGGGAGGTTGGCAGAGGAGGAATGGGGGCAGGGTGTCGGGCAGGGGGAGGGAGGGGTGTGGCGAGGGCAGTATCGCGACAGGGGCCGGGTTTGGTGACAATGGATTGAGTTGAGGTCCCAGCATGAGTAGAGGCAGTGCACGAGCATGGGCATGTCAATAAGCAGGATGAAGAGGCGCACCTCATCGTCGGACTCGAATCGCAGACCCAGCTGCACCCCACTCGACCGCACAGCCACCTCCCCTCCCCCACCAGCACCCGCGCCTGCCCCTCCTGCCCCCCCTGCGCCCTCCTGAGCGCTCTTGTGCTCCTCCTGCAGCATCGCCACCTCCTCCAGTAAATCCTTCTCTACCCGTATCTCCCCTCCCTCCTCCCCCGCCCCCGGCCCCCCCTCTCTCCCCGCCACCGCCACTGCCGCCGCCTTCACCCGCACCTCCCTCCCCGGCTCCTCGTCCTCCTTCCCCTCTGCACCCTTTCCG